TATCATATATATATATATATATATATATATATATAAAATAAAAATAAAAATAAAAAATGTTGTGTATATTTAATTCGTAAAATTTTAGTTATTTGATTCTTTCAAATTAAATTCTAATATTCATCTTTCAAAAATCATGTTTTATTTTATTACCCAATTGTTACCACTGTAATTTTAGTGTCCCTGAGATAATAGTTTTTATTAATATTTTGAATCAGTTTTAATTTTAATTGTTCTAATTTTGTTGTGTTTTTGTTTCTCATTTATTTTTATTTCAGTTTTGGTTTGTAGTACAAGTTAAACGGTTAAAATGAGAAATAATAGCTTAAATATATATATTTGTATATGAAATTATATTTTTAACAGTGAACAGGTCACAAGCTACTAAATTAAAACATGACTTTTTGGAAAATTAATATTAAATTGTAAAAAAAAAAATCATAAAAGTAATGAGAAGAGGCAATAGAAGGGTTATGTCATCTTTTGTCAACCAGGTCTATACAAAGTTGTGCCATTATGCATTCTTTTTTTATTATTATTATTAGTTTTTAGTGTATTTCTGTTGAGAATTTTTTAGTTTTGCCTCGAGCTCTGAGCCGACAGTCTGTTGTTAGTGATGTGTGGCTTGGATTCCAGTGTAGATCTTCATCATCATCTTCATCATCTGGGCGGAGGTCACTTCCTTTCCAGCAGATCAAAGAGCAACAGAAGAACAAACTCCTGCAGTCCGTGTGTTTGTGATTCTTCTCGATCAAAAACAAACAACCTCATTCTGATTTGTTCATCTAAACCTCATTCAAACCCAAGCTGAAAACGCTGCAGTTTAGAGTCTGAATGTGTTCATTAGTGCACTTGTATTTTTGCATTACGTGGTTTTCTTTGCTGTCTGATTAAATGTCCACAGGCTTCAGTTGCATCTCGACTCTCTGTAGGGAACCTGCTCGAGTCGGCCTTTGTTCTGACCCAGATCTGGTCCAGTTCTGTCACAAAGGGAATGACCAACCACCCTTTCATGCGCCGAGAGCTATCCCAGCATGCCTCTCCACACAATCCTCATATGCGTTCCCAGGACGGCACATTTACAAAGCCAGAACACCCTCAGAAGATGGCAGTGTGCATGAAGTGGTGTGTTGTTCACGCTCTGATCTTGTTCGGTACATCGAGTGAACAGAAAAGCGCAAGGTTTGTGTCGAATTATGTTGGATTACCTTCCACGTTGTTGTGATGCATTTCAGGACGCTGCGTCCATCAGGCCTAAACGCTGGTTCTATGTACAGTTATTTGTATATTGAATCATTCAGATGCCGGTTTCTCTTCGTAAACAAACCCGAGAAGAGATGCGGACACTCACGAGACTGATGGATTGAACATGAGCAAAGCAATATTATATGTACATACAAATGACAAAAGAAGATCCACAACATTTCAAAATGTCTACCAAGGTGAAAAATGTCAATATTTAATGTATTAATAATTAGACTGTGGTATTAAAGGGCATGTGTTTATTTACAGTGACTTCTTTTTTATTTACTTGCATATTTGCTATAATAAAAAAGGCGTAAAAACAATACTCATCAAGTCTATTTACATTAAAGTCTCGCTGATAAAAGTTTCGAAAAAGAGTTTTTAAGTCAACTTTTTATGGGGTTTTCAATACTGTGATTGGCTGGACACTGATGAGGATGATGATGATGATGATGATGTTTGGGAAAGTCTGCGTAAGGTTTTGAGAATGACGCGATTCTTTAACAGAAAGTACACTGATCACTTCAAGGCATTTCGTCTCAAAGATCGTCACTGTAAGCGCTCCGTGTTGAATATACAACCGAAAAGCCGGAGAGACAAGCCTTAAAATTCACTATCATAAATACAGTTTACCTAACAACGTTGAGGAGAAAACAGGAAACATGAAGTACATCTTCATTTTTGACTTTTTTTTTTTTCCCCAAAGCTTTTCTATCAAAAGCAACACTGACATCACGAGGTCACAGACACAGAGGCGGTGAACGGGGCTGAAGGCACGTCGCAGGGCTGAGAAGAAACGTCTGCTCGGGTGGTTTGGCTGCTGATTCCTCTGTAGTGTAGAGAGTTGGCTACTTCAGGAGAGCGCGGTACAGTAAGAGAGATCTGCTGGTCTTTCTCTCCTGCTCCATGTAGAAGATGAAGTCCCTGAGGTTGACGCGTGTTATTCTCTGGCGGTTATACTGCCGCGACGAGCTGGACGGGGCCGACGATCCGCCTGGAGAACCTGCCGAACTCCCCGACACCTGACGACAAAACACAATTCCCTTATTAAACAAACAGAGCACTGAACTGACTTGAAGTGCATGGAAGACTCAGTTCGACATTCTAACAAAACATGAAAACATTAGGTAAAATAATCCATTTTAACATACTGAATAGATTTATAGGGTTCAGAATGGAATGAAAAATGTTTAATATCAAACTTTCTCAGATACATTTTTTACTGAGCTTCTCACAGTTCACTCTGGAATTGTCTTATCTGTGAAGGATAAATGTGATGCTGACCATATCTGAAGCACCCTAAAGACGACAACGCTGCTCATTTTTTAACTTTTAATAAAAAAAAACTAGAAGTTGCAATATAGTAAATAGTTAAATTACATAAAATTATTATAAATATTTAAATTCCAATATTCTAATGTCCATCATGATTTACATTATTACAATAAATTTACATTTGTGAATACAGGCTTTAAAAAAAAATTCCTACCTAATTAATTTAGACCTTGACAATTTATATAGGTATATGTCCCAAATCGCGTACTTATGCACTATTCTATGACATTTTGTAGTATAGATAGTGCGAGTAGTGCGTTCATAAGAATACTTAGAATCCGGCGTAATGACGTCATCACGCCAGATCTGGGTCAGCAGTGAACGCGCGTCAAAAAGTGACGCAGTAGAGACGAAAATGTGGAATAAAGTCGTTATATTTGTTTTCTTTGCGCAAAAAAGTATTCTCGTAGCTTCGTAACTTTACAGTTGTACCACTGATGTCACACGATTTACTTTGTCGATCATCATGGTACTTTTCTGGATTTTTTAGTGTTTGGCTTAGTGTTATGTTAGAATCATTATTATACTTTATTTATTTTGTTTTCATTTAAATGTTTAGTTTTGAAATGTTGTTGTATGCATTTGTCATTTTTATTGAATTTATTTTATTTTATTAAATGTGTATATATATATATAGTACCGGTATTTATAGAGTTTTAGCTTTTAGTTTTAATTACTTTTTCTTATTTGTAAGTCGCTTTGGATAAAGGCGTCTGCTAAATGACTAAAAGTAAAAGTAAAAAAAGTAAAAGTAATTACGTATCGAAGGGGGAGGGGCTATCAGACTCCGATTATGAATGACAAAATAACCTTATATAATTCATACTATATATTCATACTATATATGGTTGAGTACATAGTGCATAAGTACATAGTGTATGAGTGCATAGTGTATAGTGCGTCATTTGGGACGCAGCTTATGAATCATTTAATAAATGTTTATATACATAGTTATATACAAATATACACTTTATATTTTAATTACTTTTTTAATTTACATTTTCTATTTTTATAATTTAAAATTTTATTAATTTTCATAACTTTTCCACATCTAAAATTCCTTTATTCAGTATTTTCAGGTTGTCCACAATCATATTAACACTGATTTTAAATGGCTGTTTTTAAGGGAACAAATTATTTCAATATTCATTCAGACTTCAATGACACTCGTCTGCTTACATTTGATGTAATGATCATGTGACTCTTTCCTGCTTCCACTGAAGCTCAAGATGCTCTTCGGATCATTGCAAATCATGCTGGAGAACATGATCATCAGGTTTTGTTCACCTTCAGTGCTGCTGTCAGTAAAGCAAAGCCAAATACTAAGACTTTCCCATATTCATATTCATTTTTTTCTTCAACTTTGAGCTGTCAAACTCTCATACAGTACAGGATGAATCAGATTTAGCTCCACGTCAGTGGACAGACAGAGTTTATACAGGCCAACAGTCTTAAAACACTGCCATAAGGTATAAAAACTGTATTAATTTCAGCATTTCTGATCTAAAAAGCAAAAATGGCTTTTCTTATACTTAACTACAGTGCTGGGTAGATTACTTACAAACTGCAGTCCGTTACTGATTCCAAATTACATGACAACAATTGTAGTTATTAACATAATCCATTACCTTACACATTTTAGGTAATATAATCAGATTACTTTTTGATTACTTTTAGATTACTTTTGACCTAACTTGTTTGATTTAAATAGTATAATCTTGTACCATATTGATATTAAAATACAAAGAGTAAGAAAATATATTATATTCCATTCGTTGTATTTAACAACACGAAGTGCATTAAACATTATTAGATCAATGTTAAACTGATGTTTGTAAAGGGTTTTTGCGAGTTTAATGAAAAGCTAACAATTAATTAAACGATAATGTAAAATTAAAATAAGTCATTTTAAAATAACATCAATCAAAATAAAATGCTTACCAAAGAAATTAAATGTTTTATTTGTTTACCTGCGTGTCATGTGACCATTAATCAACGTCAGAGAACCGTGAACATGCAAATGTGATCCTTATTTATTAAAATATTTATTTTAAAATCTCAGGGGTACTACAAATAAAAATATATTAGGTGAAAGAAAATCTGTTTGGGAATGCCTGCATTACATGCAATTAAAAAATAACGTGAATTTGTGCATTTTAATGTGTTTGAAAGACAAAAGCCTTCCAAAGACATGGTACATAACCTAC